ATTAATTAATTTAATAAGCCTTGGATAAATTAATTAATTATGTTGGTTATTTATAGGCCAGAATTAATTAATTCATGGATCGAATTTAATTAATGGGTTAATTAAATATTGGACCGGATCCGACAAGCCCGTTTGGGCTTATATAAATAAGTGATTAGGGTTTACTATTTTGTAGAGAATTTATTATTCTTGCTAGCACAAGAAGAAAACTCTAATCATACAATCTTGTTCTCTGTGTAGATCACCGTTGGAAGCTGGACAATTAGACAACTGTGGATGACGAATCAAGATCATTGGATCGAATGAATAGCAAAGGAATTTGCAGATCTTGTAAAGGTACATCTTTTTCACAATTTCTATCTAAACACAAAGACGATTCTTGGTGGGAATCAAAAATTATTTTAATTTTTCGCTGCGTATGTTAAGTAGATTCCCAACAGTCCTGTAAAAATTCTGTTAAATATTTACTGTATTGGTAGCATAACTCTTGAAACAAACTTATGACTCCTAAAATAAAAGGGACGGTTGTTTGGCAGTTGGCAAAAGTGGAAGTTAAAATGGTAAGTGAGAATGCGCTTAGTGGGTAGGTTGCCATTGATCAAATAAGAGAAAAATTGTAAGTGGGGGCTTTAATGTTTTTCAAATACAAACTGAAAATGAAAATTGGCAATTTTTTTTTGCTTAATAGTTAACAAAATGGGGATTAAATGATAAGGTAAGTTGGAATGGTTATGGCACTATGTAATAAGTTATCTAATCTAAATTTTATCGATTTAAAACATGGGGTAATTAAACAAAATAAGAATTTTGTGGTTTAAATTAGAATTCGGTATCTTATGAAAATTTTTAGACAAGTGAGCGCAACATTACTATCGTGACCAAAATTTTAATTAGGACTCTTAGGAAGTGTCATAAAACATAGTAAAATAACCAAAATTATTTTCAAGTTTTATAAGAAAATTTCTTTTAAAATGAAACACAACATTTTTTCCCCCGCTCCTTACAAATTAGTTTGGGGTTTATTATGAACAACTTCAGATGGTGCAATTTTTATGGTGAACAAAATGGAAATAATAAATGGGCTCATTGTTGTATGGTACTAAATGATAAATGAAGAAGTATTCCAAGATTCTGTTGGGCGTGGAAGCTCCGATACCACTTGTTGATCTCAAATCAGATTGTCAAGAATGAGATTTAACGACAATATTGAAATAAACAAGATCACACCATGAAAACAATATTTAAAATAAAGAAGAACAAAAAGGGTTAATCACAGAGAAACAATGTTTATTACTGAACAATATGAAGAAAACAAGTACAACTTAACAAAATTGCTTCTCATAAAACTGACAGAGGAGCCTCATATTTATAGGAAAAATTCATCCCTAGAAGTAGAGTTGTAGATAAAATAAAATAACTAAAAAATTCCTTATTTGAACTCTTCAAGTCCAACTCAAATTCCAGCTCCCGATGGGCTTCAAAATAGAACTTTGAATAGAAATTGACAATTAAACTTAAATAGGATTTCTCAAAGCATTCCAACTAGAATTCCTCTTGATGTGAACTTCAATTAGAATTCTACAATTATTTCAATAAAAGAATTCGAGTCACCCCAAAATTTTAACGATCTCCACCTTGACACGAATTTCGGTACAACCTAACGAAACTCATAGATTTCAAATCCGTCTGCATCGAAATGAACTGACCAATCTTCTCAAAGCAGTAACTAAACACTCCATATAAACCAAACAATCGTCCTCTGCCCGATGTCCACAAGCGACCCCCGAACCCAATCCTAGGTTCTCAAAATTCTTCCTCAGAATTAATGTCAATCATACGGGGTCGAAGCATACCCTTGAGCAAGAACCAAACCAGATGCTTGATCAGAATGTCCCTTGCTGGAACTGTTGCCTTCAACGTCTTTAGAAGAACCACAGACATTACTGATACCATGGTTCTACGCTCGATGAGTCTAACCCCCAGCAACTGAACACAGTGTACCCACTGAAATTAGTGGCATAGCAGAATCACCAACGCTCCCTAGCAGTATTCTAAACCGACTCAGAGCCCAACATAAGAGATACTGTACCAAACTGAGCTTCTACCATGGTACTAAACTTGTCCAAATGTCTCCTCTTAATTGGTTCTGCACTTCCCTACAAAATGTACAGCTGGGATCTTCTCCGTCCCTCCAGTACAACCTAGACTTCCTTTCGGACCTTCAACTTGAATATCATTTAGAAAAAAAATAGATTGCCCAGTATTCCACCAATTAGTAACCTAAGATTCTATACTTTTCGTATTTTAACTACTTGTTTGCTACAAATAAACTAATAGAATTTTTGTGCTCTACTTGATTGAATTTTACTCCACCTCCTCTAGAGAATTTATACCCTTTTACATCCAGGGCAATCAGCGAGATGAGATTTCTCTTCAAATCTAGAACATGTCGAACCTGGCCAAGTGTTCTGATCATCCCATCCTGCAACCACAATTTGACTCGACCGATTTCAGCAATACGGTAAGACTGGTTGTTTCCATTACAACTCTAACTTACTGAACAGCTTCATATGTCTGAAATAAATTCCTATCGGAACACATATAGTGTGAACATGCTGAATTAAGAATCCCTCCTATACAACCAAGACTCCCTTTCGGACCTTCAAGACTCCACCTTCTCCAGAGAATTTATACCCTTTTGCATCCAGGGCACACAGTGAGATGAGATTCCTCTTCACATCTGGAACATGTTGAACCTGGCCATGTGTTTTGAATGTCCTATCCTGCAACCGCGATGTGACTCGACCAATTCCAGCAATACGGTAAGACTGGTTATTTCACATTACAAATCCACCTTGCTGAACGGCTTCATATGTCTTGAATAAATTCCTATCGGAACACATATGGTGCAAACATGCAGAATTAAGAATCCACTCCTCATCAGGCCTAGATTCCACTTCAGATACCACGATCAACATCATATCTCTGCCATCTAAAAAATCCTCAACTACATTGGTTTCATTTGAAGTCAAAGGTTGCGCTCCATAATTTACAGCTAAATCACCTTTAGCCTACAACATATTGTAATCCTTCCGAATATGTCTCTTTCGTTTGCAGTAGTAACAATACACATTGCTAAAGTTGAATTTTGATCTGCCTCTCCGTCGACCACCTTGAGATACAAGAGCTTCCACGTCCCTTGATGTAGCTCCAACCAAATGTTTCATCTTCTCTTTTGAGTGCAAAGCATCATAGAAATCGTCTATAGTCAAAATATCTCGACTATACAAGATGGTGACTTGAAACGAAGCATAAGAACCAGGCAGTGAGTACAACAGGATCAAGGCAAGGTCCTCTACTTCGTACTTGACCTCCAACGTTTCCAAATCTACAACTATTTCCTTGAACACGGCAATGTGATCTTCCAAGGATCATCCTTCCGCTATGCGATGGGAATATAGTTTCTGCTTAAGAACCAATTTACTGGTAAGACTCTTAGTCATACATAATTGCTCTAGTCTCAACCACAAATCAGTGGTCGTCTTCTCCTTCAAGACATCCTGCAAAATATTGTTAGAAAAATGAAGATGAATTAACGACAAAGCCCTTTGATCCTTCCATTGTCCAATTAGCTAGCATCTTTTCAAAACCCAGTAACACATCGTCCAAATCCAACTGCGCCAAAATAGCCCTCATCTTTACTTGCCACGAAGAAAACGTTGAATTGCGATCCAGCAGCGAAATGTCATACCTCATGATAGTCATCTCTGAAAAAACCTCAACCAATCAGAAGAATAACCAAGCTCCAATACCATTTGTTGGGCGCGGAAGCTTCGATACTACTTGTTGATCTCAAATCGGATTGTAAAGAATGAGATTTAACGACAATATTGAAGTAAACAAGATCACACCATGAAAACAATATTTGAAATAAAGAAGAACAAAAAGGGTTAATCGCAGAGGAACGATATTTATTACTGAACAATATGAAGTAAACAAGTACAACTTAGCAAAATTGTTTCTCACAAAATTGATAGAGGAGCCTCATATTTATAGGATAAAATCCATCCCTAGAAGTTGTAGATGAAATAAAATGTCTAAAGTTTTCTTATTTGAACACTTGAAGTCCAACTCAAATTCCAACTCTCAATGGGCTTCAAAATAGAACTTTAAATAGAATTTGACAATTAAATTTGAATAGGGTTCCTCAAAGCATTCCAACTAGAATTCCTCTTGATGTGCACTTAATTAGAATTCTACAATTATTTCAACAAAAGAATTCGGGTCACCTCAAAATTCTAAAAGATTCAAGGATTAAGGTTGAAGAATAGTTCACATGTGCGATATCAACAATAGCTCCTTTTCTCGTTTCACTGTAATAAAAACCCGTTGATGACTTTTTAATTTTTTGTATTTTTGCTATGATGACTAGCTAAGATTCTAAATGTTAGGATGAAGAATGTAGCCTAGGTCATTTTTGTTAAATAAATTTTCGTACTTCATGCCAATACCCTTATTATGTTAATTACTTATTGTGTGTTAATCTAATTCAATTGCTTGATCATCAATTGATTTATATAGGGATTATAGTGACATCAAAAGATAATATACATGTCTAGCTTGTACAATAGGAACATAAACTTGGATGAGAAAACCAGAAATACTCCTACATGTTATGCTACCTTTAAATTGAATTTCTTTAAAATTAATGCTCAATATTTGTTGGAACTTACATAGAGATGTAGTGAGTTTGCGCATTTAAGTAGGATTAATTTTGTTCGAAAGAGATTATTAGTTAATTCGAATAATTTGTTAAAACACTCGTAGGTAAGGTTATTGCATGTTAAACAAAATTAAGCATAAATTGACTTAAATGAAATCAGAATTACTAAAAAGTTAATCTCATGAAAACCTTTCATGAAGTTTTTGCGTGCTGATTTTTCTTTTAAATTTTAATTACAAATTTTAGCTTTACTTCCACATATCATATCGAAACATAATTGAACTTAAGTTCATTCAAACACGATCTAGTGTTAAGTAAATTGATAGTTCATAGCATTACATTCTCAGACAACTATAATTGAACTCGTATTCATATTATTGCTTGTCACGATACCATACACATGTAGTTTATTCCAACATTTAACATTAGCAATACTGCTTTATTTATTTTACGAATTAACTGCTGCTATAGGAGTCCAATCACAAAGCTTATTTAGGCATCGCCAACAAACTTGAATTCCAGCAATTCCTTGGAGTCACGTATCTTGATCCACACCTTAGTTTCACACTGTTTCTTCTTCTTCTCCACGCGGTCGAACACCTCCAGAGTTAGGTAGTAAATGAACCCTGCCACCACTTGATGTTTCGCATCCAATACCTTCTTAAATTCCAGAACTAGTGCATTCTGCAATCATAAAGGAAGAAAAATAAATGAGATTTCAGACTCAATTCCAAAATTTCATACAATCATGAAAATCGCAGGTAATTGTAATTAATAATATGCAAAAAATAATCGTAGTTGAAGATTAATCAACACAAAAAGAGTGGGGGGGGGGACCTGTTTTATGTTGTATTCATCAACAGCAAAACGAGCTAGACATTCAATCTCAAGGCTGTTCTCAAACCGTTCAATCGGGTGAATTCCTCCAACGATTGGCTCCTCCTCCAAATCTTCTCTCAGCTTAATTCCTCCAGAGGTGGTCGTGGCGGCCATTCTCACAGATAACTGAATTTTTTTTGCTAAGAAAACTCTCTCTTTCTTTTCTTTTGGTGTGTGAATAATTGAAGGTAGTTCAAGTGATTTATAGAGGGACTGGGGAAAGAGTGAAACTTGCAATTGTCCAATCAGCAAACCTGTAGAATCAAATGAAATACACGTGAAACATTTTCCATTTGTGGCCTGTATTATGGGATAAGATTTTTTAGAAGTTGTTGGCTTTCAACGTTTGCCTTAAAGAGGGTAGGGCGCAATTTGATTTTGGTCAATTTCGACTTCAACCCAAAATTAAAATCAAATTAATTGGTTTGGGTGAATTTCAACCCAAATCAACCCATTTTAGCTCTTCAATTTGGTTTGGTTCGGTTCGGTTAGTTGGTTTGGATTTTTAATCAAAATTGAATTTTTTTTAAAATAATATTCAAGTTTTAGGCCCACACAGATTAATAATTTTATATTACAAAAGCTGCTGACTAACAAATAAAATCGGCTTAATAGAGACAGATCAACAAAAAATTTAAGAATTTATTTTTTTATGTATTATGTAGCATGACTGCCTAAATATGGAAAAAAAATGTTAAGTATAACATAATGAGCTTGTAAAAGAAAATTTTCAATGCTATTAATTATCGACAACAATATCATAGATTAGAGGGAATTGAGATATAGTTAGGAGATTATGGCTTATTTTTTATTTTTATTTTTCTTAAAAAAAATGTAAACATGTAAGTAGGTTGGGTTTATTCGATTAACCAGTTGTTTGAGATTTCAAACTAACCCACCAAGGTTTTGTTTAAAAGAAAGCCAAACCAAACCAATTGTTTATGTCAAATCGACAAAAGTCGATTTGATTTTGTTGGTTTGGTCTTTCGATTTTTTTTGCCCAGGCCTTGTCTTAAATTCTCAATTTTTAATATCTCTTTTGGATTCTTCATTGAAAACTATGTTTTTTTTTTAAAATTAAAATATATAATCTAAGTTTACCTACACGACTACCTATAACATGTATTGTTACACTATCGTCACTATCACTTGTAATATATCTTGTTACTTTACTTGAGCCTATTTGATTCTCATTAATTGGGAAAAGAATGAGTTTTGAATAGTATTTTTAGGAGAATGTGTGGTTAAAAAGTACGAAAAAATTTTTGATACTCATGTAGAACTTTTTATTGTGTAAATGTATGGTTGAAAATGATCTTGTAGCAAACCTCAAAATAAATTAATGAGTATCAAATAGGCACTACAATTCATCATCATCAAATGTAACATTTATTACTACATTGTCGTCATTATTGCCTTCGTCATCACCATTACCACTTGTAACAATATTATTACACCACCTAAGTCGTCTCTGCCACCATCCACTAAAAAATACCACAAGGAAATTATCAATTCTACCATCAATATCACTATCACTGCCCTACCTATTTTCCCCACTACAATTACCACCATCAATGCTAGCAGGCCAATCGTGACCCTGGCTGCAAGCAACCTAGGCCATTGCCTAGCTTCTTAAAAAATTTAAAAGTTTAAAAGCCCAACAAAAATTTTTCTTTACTTTTTTTTTTTTAGTTGGATCCTCTATTCTTTTGAAAAGTCACAACAAAACAATAAGATGGGACTGAATACGAGACCCAAAACACTTGGGTACTTACATCCTTAATTTAAGCAATAAAATGGACCTACAATTACTTGAGAAAATTTCATATATAAAAGTTTAACTATGATTCTTTTCAAAACTAAGAAATAAGGTTTGAAATTTCAAAAATCAAATATTATGAAATTTTACTTATGAAATAATTAGTTAAAAATGTATTTCATTAATTAAATATATTAAGGTTACAATCCATAAAGTTTGATCACAAATTAGTGAATTAACTGGTTACAAATTATTTATCAGACACAAATAAAAAAAATTTATTTGTCACAAACTATTTCGCAATGACAAATCAAAAATTTTATAGGTCACAATTTATTCACCGGTCATAAATTATCAAATTAATTGGTAACATATTATTTTTCAATCACAAATTGTCGAATTAATTAGTTACAGATTACCAAAATTTTGAGTCGCAATGCACATTCTTTTATGTCACATATTATTTAATGTGATATATTATTTATTGATCACAAATTAACTAACTTATTGATCACAACTCAAAATATTGATCAGGAACTCTTCATCCAATTCCACGGCCACGACTATCATCCTCGCCACTGCCACCACCACAACGCCAACACCAACATCAATACTACCACCAACACCAACGGCATTAAGCAACCAGCACACATTCAGCAATGCCAACGAGCTTTGGATGTTGATTTATTAATTTCTTGTGCGAGCATACATATGTAATTAATTATGTGTAAGGTTATCTTGAAGTTAAGTCCAAAATTAAAGCGATCTAATAAAAATTAAATTGTTGGGTTTAGGGCATCTAAATAAAGTATGTGTCGGATTATATGTGTAAAGACCGGATTCATTAGGGTTGTGTTTCCTTGATGAACAAAAATACATATGAAAATATAAATATCGTTTTGGTCCCCAATTCATATGTAACTTCTCGTTCTTTGTGCCTCCTATTAGCATAAGAAGAATTAAGAGAAAGCATATTGAAAAGAATGATCCAATACCCACAATAAAAAGTAATGAAGAGGGAATTCAAGAAACAAATATATGGCTCAAGAAGCAAAATAAATAACAAGAATCAAAGGATCAAAGGAGGCAAAATTCAAGATTAAAAGTAAAGAAGTCAACATGAAAAGATTGCAGTTCAGATTTCAAGATTTAAGATTTAGAATCAAAATCCACTAATATGGAGTTATTCTCAATGAATTAATGTATGTTCCACATTAATTAATTTTTTTAGTGATTTGACATGGAGATCTTGGTAATTCATAAAGTTTATAAAGCTCAAGTTTTATAAAAATTTCAACATTGGATTCTCTAGCAAGCTGGAAGGACAAGAATGTTTTGAAAAAAGATGAGCTGGATAAATTTTCTAGAAATCCCACCTGACAGAATTTTTCTCTGTTATGGAATTCCTTTTTGTTATAGAACTTGTTATAAGATTCTTTTATACTTCTTTCACAATTCTACCATTCTAAGTTTCTTTATTTCATTACATTTGTTCTTCTTCCTGCATTATTTTTTTCTTATACCCTTCCCTTGCTGCCCGCCACCACTAGTGTTTCGCCTGATCAACCATCTGTATAAGATACTAAAATCTATTATCACAATTGTTAACATTAAGTGTGTGTTTGATTGGTATTATTTTTCCATGAAAAATGTCATTTTTTCACCCAAATTCCTACTTTTTGGGTGTTTGATTAACAAATTATTTCATGAAAAATGTTTTCCAACTTTTGGTAACGCGACCATATTCTCCTCAAAACAAGGAAAATATTTTCTTTTGAGAGATGTGATTTTTATTTTCCAGGTAATTCACTTTCTTTTTCTCTCATCTATCCCCTTTATCTTTCATCTACCCACAAATAAAAAAATGGACAAGTATAATAATTTTTAGGTTGAAAATTAAATCAATCGAACATATTTAATTAATAATTTTCATAGAAATAAATTCTAGGCAACCTTTCCATAAAAATTCCATACTTGCAATCAAACTCACCCCAATTGTTTATCCATTTTGCACCCTTCATTTTTCAAGAGAAGTGCAATTAAATTAGTTGGGAGTTTATTATTTATAACTTCAGAAGGTGCAAATTTTTTGGTGAACAATTGAAAAAACATATACTGATTAAAAAATGGAAATGATAAATGGGCTCACCGTTATTTGGTACTGAATGATAAATGAGGAAGCATTGCAAGATTAAGGTCGAAGAATTGTTCTGGGATTCTTGTGGCGATATCAACAATAGTGTAGCTCTTTTTCTCCTTTCATTGTCATAAAAACCTGGTGATGACTTTTTAACTTTTGCATTTTTTTTTATTTTTTATTTATATTTTATTTTTATTTTTTTGTGCTACGATGAATGGCTAAAGTTCTACATGTTAGGATGAGCAATGTAGCCTAGGTCATTTTTGTTAAATAATACCTTTATTATGTTAACTACTTAATGTGTGTTAGTCTAATTCAATTGTTTGATCACTAATTGATTTATATAGGGTTTATATTGAGATCGAATGTAACGCTCCAAATTTTATTGACTTAGATTTTGGGGTGTCACCAATGTCATTTCACAACACATACTTGAAGCGGAAATATTTAATTCAAAGATTTTTAATTTATTGAATACTCAAATATTGAAACAATTAGCATTTCATGAAATAAATCACGCATAAAAATCATAATATTGAAAGGACATACACTTGCACATAAAAGTATCCTACCTTGATTGTTGAAAATAAAAAATTCACGCCCCCAATTTGTTTTCCTCTCTATCTGTGACTATCTTTGTTCTACACAAAATAATTCATAACATTTATAGAGTATTCTACGCGTTTTCCCATAAATAGTTAAATTTGTTTATGCTCTTTTCACACATTCACGTGCATGAAATTAAGGCAATTATTTCAATTCTAATTGAAAGAGAGTTGATACACTAATAGTACAAAGGTCATGAATGTCATGAATCACGCCAAGAGATTTGTACAAAAGTATATATAATAAATTATTCAAAGCTAGACCAAAAGAAACGTGTGTTATCTTGGGAACATCAAAAGTCCTAAATGTTAAGTTAATATTATATTCCAAAATCAAGGTAAAAGTCTTCTTACAATAAGTGAAGTTCATTTTCCTCTATCCATCAATCAATCAAATCAACTAGAAATATCTCTCTCTCGTTTGTTAAAATGCTCAAATCACGCACAAGAAAAAAATTGAATTGCTGGTGGATAAAAGGTAAATAACAATTAAGACAATTGAATCTCTTTTTCTAATAACAAAGATAAACGTTAATTATATGATAAAATATTACTTTCTTTCCTTGTTATCTTAAAAGAAATATTATTAAATAGTAAAAATAATACTTATTACCTACGTTTCTTTGAATCGGAAAAACTTAGGTTTAACTTAGAAGAACTTAAATTTTCTTGAGTCGAAAATATGTTATTGAATGCGAGCTACGAAATGAGC